AGCAAAGCACACGCTGAACTGTGTTTGGGCAGTGCTGCCCACACTGCTGGGGGCTGAATGACTGCTAGCACGCTCCTCACCTGGCAGGTGCTCATGCCACCCTCTGGGTAACCACCACACAAATTGTAGTCTTGGATTCTCCCTCCATACCAATCGCTGCTGTTGCAAAGCTGGGTATCAATGAGGAGTGCCCCGCTCTGCTTCAGGACAACTGGTTGTGGACCTACAGCTGTGAGCAGAGAGAGGAATGAGGTCCCAGCAGCTCCTTGGCAATTCCCTTGCCCTGTCTGGGGATGAAGCCCTTCCCTAGGGCTTGGCTCTGCCTCTGGAGAGGCACTGGAGTGCTGTGTCACTGGTGTCTGGCTTTGGGGAGGAGGCTCATCCCATCCCTCCAGAGGCAAACCTTCCACAGCCCAACCCTGGTTTTGGCCTCTGCTGTCAGGAAGCCCCACCTGTCTCTGCCCAGTGTACCAAGCTTGCCCTCAGGGCACAGGTTCTTTTGGGGAACTCACTTTTTGCATAAGTGTCACCCCAGCCAGCGATGTAGCAGTGCTGACGCGACACCCTGACGGTGGGACCTGGCAGACAAGCGAGCTGAATGGAGGGGGTGCACTCCATGGGCTGCTGCAATTCCACCACAGCGATGTCATAAAGGACATAGGCATCGTAGAGCTCGTGAATGTGCACCTTCTTGATCCGACGCACTTGCACGTGAGGACCCATCTCACCAATCCTGGTGGCCCCAGCCACCACAGCCCACCTACTGAGGGGACTGAAAAGCAGATGGAGAGAGGGCTGAGAAGAAGCAGAGCCATGAGCTGTGGCAGCCCAGCAGTTCCCTGCCTTCTGCTTCCCAAGGCAGAGAGGAAAGGAGAGCTACAGGGGCGGTAGTTCTACTTACATTTTGCGATCCAGGAAGCAGTGGGCAGCTGTGAGGACCCACTTCGGCCTGATGAGGGTCCCTCCACAGATATGCCTAGTCCACTCTTCTGTCAAGACATTCCGAATGCTGACTATCCCAGCCCAGGCTCCGTCTCCTGGCTGGACATCAACACCACCCACGATGCGCGTGGCGGAGCGCATGGGCCAGAGCCCACAGATCTCTCTGTAAGCAGAAAGTCATTACTGTTCTGCTCCCGGGCTGGCTGCTGCTCAGGCTGAAGGGCAGCAGGCTGCCCTCCCCACAGGGCGCTGGTTGCACGGCCAGCAGGGCCAGGGGACCCCGTGGGTCCTGTGTCCCTCTGCCCCTGTGTCTGCTTCAGCCCCGGAGATGAGCTGTGCCGGCAGTCCGAGGGCGGGCGAGGTCAGCTGAGGCTCCCACATGGGGTTTGGGAAGCACTGGTGTAGCCACAGCGGACAAGCGGGCACCCTCAGGGTAGCCCCTAAAGCTTGTCCTGGCTCCCCCCCCAGAGCCTGGGGCCACTTACCCGCACTTGCCGTGTGCGGCCCCGCACAGGGCCAGCAGGAGGAGCAGGCGCAGCAAGATCATCGCTGCCAGCGACACAGATCAGCTGCAAGGACTGAGAGCCCGTGAGCTGCAACAAGGTGCCCGCAGCATTCGAGTTGCCCGCAGTGCCCTCAGCCCCGGGGCTGATGTCACAGGGGGGCTGATTCCATGATCTGGGCACGGTGGTGGCCTCTGGAGGCTGGGGGAGAGGGGTAAAGTAGAGTCAGAGCCACAGAACGGTCTGGCTTGGAAAGGACCTTAAAGGTCTTTTAGTTTCAGCCCCCAGCCACATGCAGAGACACCTTCCACCAGATCAGGTTGCTCAGAGTCCCATCCAACCTGGCCTTGAGCAGTTCCACGATGGGGCATGCACAGCCCGTCTGGGAAAGCTGTGCCAGCTTTTACTTGTCATCAGAAACTCTTACAGAATTTGTGGCAGCAACAACAACAACAAAAAGCCGCATACTGGGGTTTTTAAAACCACTTTGTGACACTGTTTCCTTGCTTGAGACACGAAAATCAACTAAGCAACTGTAACAGTCTCTAGGCCTAAGCTTTTTTTTTTTTGTGGTGTTTACAACCTAACTGGTTGTGGTATTTCTGGCAAAGCGGGCATTAGCTCTCAGCCTTTGGTTTTTGCAGAGAAAAATTAAGTTTTCCATGGAAAGTGTGCTTTCACCAAGGGAAGCCTGAGCTTTGTTGAGCTGAAGAAGCTTCACCCTTACAAGTTCTTGAGGGCCTTTGCTGTTGATGGCCATGTCCTATGGCCAAGTGATATCTACTGAGTCCTGCACGTGTCACATTTGGAGACTGAAACTTGCTGTGGTCAATAGCACTATTTTTTTTGTTGTTGTTTGGTTGGTTGGGTTTTTTGTTTGTTTGGTTGGTTTTTTGGGGGTTTTGTGGGGTTTTGGGGGTTTTTTGTTTGGTTGTTTTTTTCCCCCTTGGTCTTTTTCCTTTCTTTTTTTGTGGTTTTTTGTTTGGTTGGTTTTTTACATTTTTTGTTTTTGTGTCAGGGGACTTCCGTTTGGGAGTCATTGCTAGCAAGGTTCTGTTTTGGACATGGGCTTGGTGTACAGTTTGGTAGGACAGGCTAGAGCAGTGGGAGAAAATGAAATCTTTTGGCCATTCTCAGCTTCCCTTGACAGTTCATTTGCAGCCCCACCAACACCAGGGCTCTGTGATTGCTCTAGCTCTTAATCCCGTCCCACATCATGACAAACCTAGCCAGAGCTCAGCTTCAAAACTGACTCACCAGCTGGGGCTCTCATAGAGAAACAGCCAGGACTGAAAGCTTCTGGCCCTCAGCTTCCCTTACCAGCTCTTTCAAAGCCCCACTAACAACGGGGCTCTGCAGCTGCTCTGCTGCCTGACCCTCACCCACCACCTCAGCCTCAGCCAGGGTCCAGCTCCAACGCACACCCCACCCACCCAGGGCTCCCAGCAGAAGCAGCCAGGACTGAGAGGTGCTGGCAGTCCTCACCTTCCACTGGCAGACCCTTCACAGTCAAACTCACAGTGGGTCTCAGCATTTGCTCTTGTATGTTGTAATGGTCACCAACATGATCACAACCCTATGCGAAGCACAGGTCCATCCCAAACTCAACCAGCAATGGATCCCTAGAAAACATGGCAGAATCTGAAAGCTTTGATACCCCTCACCTTTCTTTTGCAACTCCTTTGCAGCCCCACAAATACTGTGGGGCTCTCTCTTGTACCTATGTCTAATTCTCTTGTATTAACCCTTACCAGACCCCAGCTCCAGCAGGGAGCCAGCTAAGGCTCTCATTTTTCATGGTCTAGGCCAAAAAGCTTTTGAATGTCCTCATGCTCCCCCTGGGCTGTTCCTTCACAGCCCCACAAACACTGTGGCTTTGCTTTTTGTCCTGCACCTGTGGCTAAGCTTAACCCTCTCACTAATCCTAAAAAGAACCCAGCTAATGGGACACCCAACTTTCTCTGGCAGCATTACCTAACCTTACCTTTCACAGCCCTCCTAACCCTTGGGTTCTGCTCTTTGTCTTGCATTGCCACTCTTTTTCACACCCTCGCCCTGCCCTAAGCCCATGTCGAACACGAGCCTTGCTAGCAAAGGCTGTCCACCATGCACCAGGTCTTAGTGCCATTTCAGTCTGCATCAATTCCCAGTATACTCAAAAAGGGAGAACCACATTTAAGCATTTCTTAGGGAAAGAGGACTCCTGTACAATTTTTTTAATAGGGTTGGAGACTCCATGACAGAAAAATAATTTTAAAACCTCTACAACAGACACACTAAAGTATGCATATGCAACTAACAGTAAAATTAAACAACCTCTCCCATCTTCCAGATTTTCTTGGTATACTTTGCTGTCTAAAACTCAGCTCCATACTATTTCTTCATAATTATCACTAAAGCATCTGAATAGTATATTTTAAAATTCCACAGCAGAAATCAGGAGGAAGATGGGATCCTCTTCCACAGTTTTGATTTTAAATTTTGTAAGACTCAATACTGTGGCCAGGGATTAAGTAAAATGTGTATGAGGAGACAGAAGGGACAGAATAGTGGAATTTTACTACTGACTTCTCATTTAATTTAAGAAGTGATCAGGAAGAAAAAGATTACATATATATATGTATATATATATATACATATATACACTTATACATATAAAAATATGCAAAGATGGAAACAATATTTCTGTAAAGATCTCAAAGACTTAAAATAAAGGAGGGATCAAAGCAATAGCACATAACAGTACAAAAACTCCCAAGAATACACTTGATTGCAATTCTCATTCCCTAATTTAATAACAGTTCTAAAGCTGCTTGCATGAGTCCATAGAAGACACATTGGTAGTGAAATGAATAGAACAGATCTCTGGATAGAAAGGTATGTTTACTCGTCCGTGTGTTGTATATATGTCTTACTTAAAACATTTTCTTTTCACTATTTTTGAAAGACACAGACTGCACTGCAGGTATTTTAGCTTTCTAGTGTAGCACAACAGAGTTTTAGTTCCCATTCTGTAAAAGACTCCGAGGATTTGTCTCAGAGGATTTTTCACAACAATAGAAAAGCAAATAATTAAAATCTAAATTAGAAGCTTTCCTAAAGCTAACGTCATGAAGAATGAGCAATGTTCACAAATTATACTGTGATCTGCAAGTTATCAGGCAATGAAAAACCAGAAGTTTACACAAATGAAGTGACTGACCTAACTATTAACTGCAAACCCCCTGCAACAAGGAGTGAAATTAAAAATCAGTAGTGAAAAGGGCATAATTCAGTAGTCAGTCTAAGAGATGAACCAACGTGGAAAAAGCACAATTTTGTGCAGCTGGTCAGAGACCAATACAGCAAAATCAGTTCAAGATCAGTGATTCGTGATGAGATTCTCAAAACTATCTTGATAAATTCAGAGTAAAAGTTCCAAGGTCACACCACTGCCTCTGGAAATCCTACCTCTGAAAACACTTGGTTTTGCTATCTGTTTCTTCTTCTCCAGATTACTGTCCAGCCACTTTATACACCAAACTGTATACTATTAGCACGAGATTTATTTTCGCATGTGTAATTCCTAATGAACACCATGAAAATAAAAAGTCCAAACTTAAATCAAATTGGAATTGCATTTATTTTGCCTCAGTTGTATACGTTTTAAGATTCACTACTACTTACGTATCTGAAATACCATTTTGTCTCACAATAGCTTCTATATCTACAAATGTGGAAACCACATACAGTTTTGCATTAAAAAAAAAAAGAAATTACTGCTCAATGAGAGTCTGCAAAGAAGTAATAGTTCATGGTAACCCCCTCTTTCTGACCTGACTGTCAATACTGATCCACTGCTAAGAAACTACAACACAACTCCAAAGGAAAGGGTGTGAGTTTCACATATAAAATTATATTTAATCTTTTGTGCAGACATTTGATCTATAGATGAAAACCATTTCAGGGTAAATACTTACATATTGCTCAAAAATGCTTCAAGGAAAATAACAATTTATTTGAGACATGCCCTGAGCTATCTAGACTCCGTAATAGTGCAATGTTTGCAGCAGTGATGCCTGATTTCCCCCTGGCTTTTGCAAAAGAAACACAGTAACTGTTCACAGAGCTCCTAAATGGCTGACACACCACAGTATTATGTGCACTACAGCAATTCTTCCAGCTTTGCTAAGTTCCTCTCCATCCACTGGATATTGAGCTGAATTGTGTCAATTGCTTCTTTTACACAACGCAGTTGAGAACTCTCCTCTGACTTTGACTCAAAAAATGACTTCACCTGCATATCAAAAGAAAGAAAGATAAAATCTTAATTAAACTCAATACTGGCCATACAAACATGTTCAGAAGCAAAGGCTATATATATATATACATATATATATATATATATATATATATATGTTTCAGAAAATCCATTTTTGAGAATCATTTGCACCTATGCAGAAAGCATACCTCTCAAAGGAGATCCCAAAATGTAAGGAAAGCATTTCTGAGGGATACAGCAGCAGTAACTCATTTGGTTTCAATAAATTATTTCACCAATAAACAGACATTCACTTATCAAATTCCTCACAAAGCCAACAGACAATACTTAGAGTTCTAAAAAGGAGTCCTGCTCTGTGACAAAGGAACTGGTTGTTG